GGCCTGTAGTAAACCCCTACCACCAGATCCCTCTTCCCCTGCCTTCAATGAAGTTTGACCCACAGGATCTCAGTTAAGCCTTCCTCTGATCCCATTGGGAAGGTAGAACTGGTATACTGTTCCCTAACATAAAGCCCACCCCCCCACACACCTTTTTTCCCCTTCCTATCTCTTCTAAACAACCTATAGCCCTCTATGTTGACTGCCCAGTCAAATGTTTCACCCCACCATGTCTCCACTAGGCCAACCAGGTCGATTTTACTACTTGCAAGCAGGAGAGAAAGCTCCTCCTGCTCATTCCCCATGCTTCTTGCATTAGTGAAGAGACACCTCAATCCCCCCGTGGGAGTTCCTCTGATTCCACAACCTATTTTAATTTCTACTTCCAGATACAAAATCAAAATGCTGCCAACAGTGCAATTAGGCTCTACAGCATATGAAGCATCAATGCCATATTGTTCTTCAATTCCTCTTTTCCTTCCAAAACAGAATGTCATTTCTACCTTCCCCCTAGTCCTACTAGCCTTAATAATGGGATGAAGTAGTTAACTGAATGAATATAAGGTAGAAAGTGTATTGTGCATACATCTGCTGTCAGCTGTTTCCTAAGCCCCAAACAATTGCCATTTTGCAGCAAGACAGAACAAGAATTTTGTTAAAAAATGGCTGGGGGGGGGGGGGGGGGGGGGGGGGAGATGAGGAAATTTAAATTCAATTGAACAAGACAGCTCCCTGATAATATCTTCTATGAAACAAAAAGCAATAAAAATTTGCTCTATATATTTAATTGCATCACACCCATTCCAAACTAGTTCTAGTTTTTAAAAAGATTTCAGACTCTGACATATGGTGCTTAATTTTGTATATTTAATGCAAATAAAACAAAATCCATTTGGCTAAAGGATTTTACATTTGCTAATGTTACTGTCCTGTTACCTTTTTCTGCATAATTCTCAGTTCATCACTCAAGTTGATGTTCACCTTCATTAGCTGCTGTATCTTTACTTCAGAAGCCATCAAGGCATTTTTAACCTGCATATATTCTTGTGCTGTGACCGGCCCATCTGACAAGTCTGAATCCAGACTCTACAAACAAAAAAAAAAAAATACAAAAAAACCTACCATAATACTGA